GCCATTGGAGTCCTCATGGGGGACTCCCCCCGCAGGGCAATCCATACAAAAGAAACATTACAAATGCCCATCTTCTCACTGGAAGGGACATAGTCAACACAGCTGAGAAACTGCATGAGTGAATGCATCTTAAGCTATTTTCATTTCTTCTTATATCTGAAAATGTTCCGACTACAAACAAACCCACATAGTATATTGCAGCCACTTCTTCTCTGGGGCTAGAGATACAACTTTGGGGTAGAGTATTCTTGTTTAGGCATGCATTTATCATTGCCAGAGATTCGAAAGGAGCACGCTCTTGATAGCTGTTTTTTCAAGAGAATGTTGAGAATGAAGTTGCTGTAGGAAACGGAAACCATGCGCACGCTCATGTTTTTCCCCTCCACCACCTCTCCAGGTGCCCCTGTGCTTTTCTCTCTCCCTTGGTTGTGGGGAGAAGCTGGACAGACTGGCAGACAGATGCATCTGACAAAAAGGCTCGTGGCTTTCTGGTGACACGCAGTTTATGTCTGAATGGATACGCTGCAGATGCGGTGGGCCCGTGGGAACTGCTGAATCTGCTTCGGCACGCTAATTCCAGTCATATGTCTACCATATGTTGACTCCACAGCTTAACCTCCAAAAATGCCCTTACTCTCCCCCCTGTCTGTGATTTCATATGAGCTGGGATACAAACTAAGCAGTTTAGGCCACCAGCTTTAAAAACTGCTCAGGTGGCCTGTTGTGCATTATGTTGGTTTGGGGAAAAAGAACATTTTGAAAAAGGGACTGAGCTGTGAAGGAGTTCTGAGCTGCTTTTGCTGAATTGACACCTCGTAGATCACTGAGCCTCTCAGGTTTATCCTCATCCCTTCAACCTGGTTATTACAGATCTGCTTGTCAGTTCGACCAAACTGAACAGCCAGATAAGGGATAATGGGATTACGCCTGTGTAGAGGATATGCTTTCTCCCAACAGCCTTGAACAACTGAATGTCCAAAACTCAGCCATGACCTGTTTCCTTGGCTCATCACAGATATACCATCATGGGAGTCATGGTGCAGTATATAAAGTCAGCCCTGGGTTCTTCTTGATCCAGTCCATCAAAGGAGAGTCAAGGATATAGAAAGTAATTCTAAACCCACAGAATCAATGAACCTGGGATCATAGGGGTTCAGAGAGGCTAAACTTACAACCAGGGAGCCTGCATGGGACTGGCCTAGGCCCTCTGCAATTAGGTTGCAATTGTGTAGCTTGGCTTTCTTATGAAACTCCTCACAGTGAGAACAGGGACTGTCTCTGACTCTGTTGCCTGCTTTTGGGACCCTTTCCTTCTACCAGACTGCCTTGTCCAGCCTTAATAGAAAAGGATGTACCCAGTCTCACTGCAACTTGATATACCATGGCTGGCGATATTAACTGGAGGCCTGCCCTTTTCTGAAGAGAAATAGAGGAAGAGTGGGTGAGGGGAAGAAAGAGGGGGAGCAGGAGGGAAGGACTAAGAGGAGAAGAGGGATGTAAAACTGCCATCAGGATATAAAAACAAAAATAAATAAATAAATAAATAAACAAGGAGGGAAGGAAGGAAGAAAAGGAGGGGAAGGAAGAGTGATTCTAGGAGGAAGGTCCAGTTCCTGAGAGTCTCCAAAAGTTTTGGGGTCTCAATTGATTAACCAAGGATCCAGCGTAGGATAAGAAGGCTGGCTAAGAAAACAAGACAAAGGTCTTATGAAGTGAACATTAAGAAGAGAGGAGGTGAAGAACAGACTAGACCTTTGGGTCTAGATCTTTGGGTCCACAGCCTTTTTCAAGTCCTGTAGGAGTGAGTTTGTTGGACGCGGATCAGAAGGGTAGAAAGGCTAAGCAGAAGTCACACAGTATTGTTGGATTCTAATTCGAGGGTCAGGAGGAAGTCTAGGAGACCGTGTACTTCCTCTTTGCTCTTCCTTAATGATCAGAGTTCCTTGAATAGAGGACCCTCAATTAGTCAAGCTGTCATGAGCACTCTTAACAGATGCAAAGCTTTACTCGAAGCTGTTGTTACATACAGGGCGACGCGGGTCTTGACAATTCCTTGCATTCAGCCCTCTCCTCCTGTTCATGTTTCCTAGGATTAGGTCTTGGGTGTTTGTGCTGTTTGACAGTGATTAAGTTTATCTGATAAACATAAGGCTTTTCCATTTAAGAAAGACTCCAGAGATGAGGGTGGAGTGGGTTTAAATCAAGTATATTGACTGCCTTCAGCTGGCTTTGTGGACATAGAAGGCTCCCATACATGCAGAGTCATGTGGAAACCTTGAACCACTATGTATGTTCAGATGTCATCCATACTTCTTCTGGAGCCTAAATACTCACCTTCATTTATCTTTGCGTTGGTGTCTTATTAATTTATTAATGTGTGTGTGTGCATGATCTGTGATGGGGATCAGAGGACAACTTCCTGGAGTCAGTTTTCCCCTCCATATTTACATGGGTTCCAAAGCTCAAGTCAGCAGGCATGCTGTCAAGTGCTCTAAGCCCCTGAACCATCTCACAAGCTCTGGACATTACTCTCGTTTAGAGTGAGACACCCAGGGGCTGCAGCTCCTCATTTGGACATTGTGACGCTCAGGTACAGTATGTGCTTCCTATGGCACTGGCCACACCTACTTCTGTCACTCATGTGTACTCGGGGCTGTTAGACTCTCCTTCAGGAGGTGCATAAAAGACAACAGACATGCTTGTGTCCACCCAAATTTCTTATTCATCCAAGTGTGTCATGTACTCACATGCATTCCTTCCTTATTTGCACAAGTGAGCCTCCTGATGTTCAGAGAAAATCGAGGACTATCTGCCTCCTTGATGATGCTGCATGCTCTCGGGAGGAGTTCCTTCACAGTCTTTGTTCACTTTAATGAAATAGTCCTGGCTTTGTATCTTACCCAAATCATGCTTCGTAATCCAGTGTCCTTGGATGGATAGTCTAAAAACATAGGGTTGAAGCCTATGCTACTCTGTGTATGTAAAGCACGTGGTGTTATGTTTAAAGGTGCTGGGGTCAGGGGTAGGGGCAAGATCATAATAGGGAAAACCACAGAGACAACGGACCCAAGTTAGTGGGAGCTCACAGACTCTGGACTGACAGCTGGCAAAACTGCAATGGTCCAAACTAGGCTCTCTGGATGTGTGAGACTGTTATATGGCTTGATCTGTTGGGGTGGGGGCTGGCAATGGGACCAAGACTTATCCTGGGTGCAGGAACTGACTTTTTGGAGCCCATTCCCTATGGTGGAATACCTTGTTCAGCCTTGATTCAGGGGGGAGGGGCTTGGTCCTACCTCAACTTGGTATGCCAGACATCACTGACTCCCAGGCGAGGTCTTACCCGCTCTGAGGAATGGATTGAGGGTAAAATGGGGGGAGGTGGGGAGTCAGTACAGGGGGAGGAAGGAGGGACTGGAGTTGGTATGTAAAATGAAAAAAAACTTGAATAAAAAGAGAAAAAAACAATGGGTACACTTTACAGTCACTTTGTTGATGCACATAATTTTTTCATACTCTCTTTTGTGTTAGATCATGCAACCCAGAATGCAGTAAAATCCTTCTAGAAGGTGTCTCCTCAAGAGAAGGGTACACTGAGCATTCCAAGTATAAGGGCATTTTTTTCATCCAATTCACAAACTTTTGAATAACTTTCACAAAAAGAATCTATATACTTGGCATATGGTTGCTATTCACTAAAGGCTGTCATCTCTATGCACACACTGGCACCTCCTTATAGTCCTAGTTGAAGGGGGTGGTATGAGATTACTTGGCAGACTCTCCTGGGAGTCACTCTTTACCCAGATTAGAGTTTCGGCATCTATCCAGATTTGACTGCATGCTTGCTTTCAACTTGAATTCAATTCACTTTGATTCATTTCAACAAATGTTCATTGATCACTTGCTTAGAGTCAGGCATGCTTGTGGACACTGTGTGTATGTGTGTGTGTGTAACAGGGGAGAGGATAGAGTGATTCAGAGATAACTATGTTACACTTTTGTCAAGGTTACAATGGAGCCAGCAAGGCACATGTCCTATCTTATGCCTTTGGAAAAATCAAGCAGACAATGATGAATGAGTCGGAATTAACTCATTCTGGACGGGCTTCACAGGGTAAATGCAAGAAAGACATCAGTATTATTGGAAGTTTTTTATAGGCAGAGGTGGTTAGCATTGGTGGGTGTTTCAAATAGAGGAAGGTCAAGCTGGTGATGGAGTGGGTCAGTCATAGTATGCTTTTGTAGTAGCTGGATATCTGGAGCTGTTGGGATTAGTGAGAACCATGTGATGATCACCAAAGGAAAGCAGAGACCAAGCATAAAACACCTCAACTGCCTTTTTGAGGTGCTTAGGCAGTATAATTTGGACAAAAGAAAAACCATAAAAGTGCTCGAAGAGAGATGGTATTATATGACTGGAAGCAAAATGGATAGATAGACAGAATGAACAAATGAATTGAGGGCAGAAGAAAATCAGCCAAGTCTAGGTGGAATGTGGAAAAATGGCTAGCCGGGGCATCAGCGATGGGAAGAAGAAAAGGCGCTTGTGGTAAGCATGACGCTGCTGAGTCCCAGGCCACAGAGCTCGTGGGTTGAGGCGAAGAGTGAGCTCTGTGTAGGTGAGACCTGGGAATGTGCCGGATTTAGGATCTGGACACCTGTCAGATAGTGATAGTATCCTTCAAAAGGGTAAACCACCTGCAAGGGGCAGCAGGCTTATACAGATTGGTACTGAAATGAATTTTGGATGTGTCTTATGTGAACCAGTATTGATATCTTTGCTTAGAGATAAATTTCTACAAAGCAGTGGGTTTGAAAGTCTGAAGTAGTATTAGGGTTTTTGGTTTGGTTTGGTTTGGGTTGGGTTGGGTTGGGTTGATTTTTAACAGAGAGAAGTAATATCAGTCTCTGTTCACAGGGGAGCTCTACAAACACAGAGGATGCTAGTGAGCTTATCTGTCTGCAGAATGACTCATCTACCTCTCACCTTTCTTTTCTAGTGTTTACCAGCTGGTGGTCAAGGAGGAGCGACTTCAGAAATCCCGGAGAGCAGCTGACATCATCGAGTGTTTCTCTGTACCTGTGAGCTACCGGAATGCCTCCAACCTCGATTCCCTCCATTACTTTGCTGCTGAGTTGAAGCCCTCCAACTTGCCTGTCACCCAGCCATTTACAGTAGGAGACAACAAGACGTACAATGGCTACTGGAACCCTCCCCTCTCCCCATTGAAGAGCTACAGCATCTACTTCCAGGCACTCAGCAAAGCAAATGGAGTAAGTAGGTCATTACTTGCTTGGTTTAGATTCCCGTTTTCAAGTGTGAAGTCTGTGAGACTTTACAGCAGAGTTTAATAATAAACTGAGGCTCATGAGCCAAGTTCAGCCCTCATGTCTTTTAAGATTTGGAATAAGGTTGATTTTTTTTTATTGCTTTATTTTTTTTTGTTCAATTTTTGGCTTTGGTTTTATTTTTAGTGCTGCTTTGCCTCTTAGTTTGCATACTACCGATGGCTATGTTGATGCTTAAGAGTGAAGTTGGGGAGCTGCAGTAGACATTGTATATGGACTACAAGGTCTAAAGCATCTATTTGTATGGCTTCTATGGAAACTGTAAACTTGTATTAGAGTATGGGAAAGGCGCTACATTGAGGAAATCATGAAGCCTGAGCTGTGGTTCCTTTATCTGTTGTACTGATGCCTGTCAGTGTCTGGATGCAGAAGGAACGTGTTTCAGTTCACCTTTGGAATTACTCCTCTTATCATGGCCATGAATCACATTCAAAAAAAAATTTTATCTTAAAAACAAAGTGACTGTTTTTGTATCAAGCGTTTCCTTGGTCTGGTAGTTATATCAACCAACATCACACATTCACAAGGCTGGAAAAAATTTAAAGGCCTTCCATCACCTTTCCCTTCACCCCCCACCTACCCTTGCATACAATACAATTCCATTACCATTACCACATTACAGTCAGCGTTTGTCAGTGCTTAGCTTTGAATGCCTGCAGTGGCAGAGAACTTACTTGGCTGATTTGGGAGTGGCAATGTGGGGATTGTGACTCTAAGAAAGTTTTGTAGTGTAATTATTTAATATTACTTTGATGGTAGCTTCTCAGTGTTCCTCAGTTATACATTTTAGGTGTTCATAGAGACAATACAATCACCTGTAGGGCATTTGTTTCTATTACATTCAATCTTTCCCACCATCTACTTACTCACTCTTGAATCACACCCATCTGCTCACCTTGTCTGCTAATGCTTCTTATAAGTTAGTATTTTCCCATTCAGGGCTTTCATGGACATATTTTAGGTTTTCATAATTTATTTGTAAAGCATATGATGGCCACTACCATGTGCAGATCCTCGTGGTTCATGTTATGGTTAGTGTGTGCCCTCCAAGAGATTATAGATATATGGGGAAGCCTGAAGTACACTACATCATGTTCTCTCTCTACAGAAGTGACAGTTCACTGCAGATAAGGACTGAGACCAAAACAAGATTGGTGGCATGTACACAGAACAGTTTAGTCTGTCAGTGGCAATCACTGCCTAGGGAGGAAAAAAAAAAAAAAAAACCTGGACTGAGGAACTAATTAACATTTAGAGTGTCCGCATGCCCATTTAAATTCCACTTTGATATTTCAGTTCTGCATTTATTACTGGTTCAAGCAACACTCCTCGCTGAGAGTATAAGGCTACAAAGAGAAGCTGCCAGACTGCCTTCTACCTGTCCATCTGGTCCCCACTCTGCACCACACACTCTGATGTATCCAGCATGAAGACATAAATGTGGACCAAAGCATCTGGGGGCCCATCTTGCTTTCAGATCTCAGAGAAGATGTGACTTTCTCGGTTCTCAGCACATGGGGGAAATAGGCTTGTTTCCTATCTGCTGATGAGGGTGAGATGCCCATGTCCCAGTCTCACGTTACCATATCCCTACCCACATACTGCTCAGAGAGCTAGCAATGCCCCAAGACGACTGGAGACTAACTATCCCAGGTGTTTTTCTAACCCAGGAGTGAAAGGCTGTGAAAGGGGTATCAGGTGCCACGAAACTTCCAGTGGATGACTTTCTCCCCAAATCTTACAGCATTGCTTCTTGTCTGGGAGACACGGGGTTTTGATTCATAGAAAAATCAAGTCAGGTACTCAAGCTGCGTTTGCCCTAGAGGCAGTTCCAAGAGGATGAAGGCCATGAATTGCTTGTGCCTTCCATTCCACATCATCTGCTCTGCCGTTGTGGAATTATAATTTTTAGCCAAGATATATAGCAGGAGGAGAATTGGATGAATACTTATGCAAGATTGTCTGAGGGTGCAGTTTGACTCATAAAAAAAAAACAGAGAAAGGAAAGGCAGTGAGAGGTGAGCACTCAGACTAAATTTTTTCTGGCAAAAAAAAAATGTACACATTGCTTAAAATTACTATCTTTAGTATTAAGCTGTAGGGGAAAAAATGAGCAAAAAGGTCATGGGAACACAACAGCTATTCCCACTCTAACAAACCTCTGTTTGGCTCCTTTCCTACTTTGTGTATCGTAGAGGCCAGGAAACAATGCCGTTAAACCAGGAGGGCTTTGGAGAGTGATCAACCACAACCTCCAACCAGCCACATTCATTGTTCTTGAGCAGATACATCAGAAGGACTGCTCCTTGGTACACAGAGCCACCTCCATGCCCTGCTTCTAATAAATCATTCAAAGAACAATTGACTAGCAATGATTCAAAACAAAGAAACCAAGAATAGAGAAGAATGGAATAAAAGACCCACAATGAGCAGGAAACTAATTAGACACTGCATTAATACTAAATAATCATTCCAAATACTCCACAAAACAGAAGGTTAATGTGAAAAAGCAATTACTTAAAGAGGAGACGTACAATGTAAAAATTAACAATTGTGATTTGGGTTCAAAATGCACTGTAATGTTAGCAAGAAACTAGAAAAGGATCGGAGACTGAAATATGCGAACAAAACTCTCTAATTTTCTCAGGTAAGACAAAGGCAAATAAATAACCACTGTTTTCCTCTGGATACTGGCAAGTTGTGAAGCATACAGATGGCCTTCCAATACTAGAAAATAGAATAATAACAAAATATAAAGAAGCACAGGAAAGACAAAAGAAATTATAAAGAAACATGAAAATCAGCAACTTGGATGGAAGAAGAAAACAGATTTCGTGATGTGAAGAGAAAGTAACATTCTTCCTTCGTAAAAGGAGACAATGGCTTTGATGTAGTAAAAACAGAACTCAGTAAACCTGCATCATTGCAATATTTAAAGCAAAGGATGTGCCAATGCCCTTTGAAACTAAAGCAGATTGGGAAGGGGCATGAATAGGCACTTAGTTCCGAATGGTTGTGGGCCAGGTTGAATAATTTACTACCAGTCAGTTTCATTCCTCAGTATCTTACCTGCTAGCTTTGTTCAGGACAAGGTGAGGGAATTTAGAATCCAAGAATCTCCATTCTGTGGATATTAGGATAGTTTATCAGCTTAGCAGATGATGGCAAATTCAGCCTTTAAAGTCAGACTGCCTGCATACAAAACCCTGGTGGCTGTATGACTTTAATTAAGCTATTAAACACATTAGATATGGTTCATTAATTAAAAGAACATCTATCAAGCACACACTATTTGTCACAAAGGCACAAGGAAAAGTTCTGGGAAACTGCAGTGAGCATTCAGAATACTGCCTGCATGGCGTTTACATTCTAATGGGGAAGAAGCCAAAATAAAGAAGGGGAATGACGGACCAAATGATGAATTACTGGTCTTAGTAGTGGGGGTTCATTCATCAGGTGCTGACTGATGATAAAGACAGTTTGCAAGTCTTACAGGGGTTACGAGTGGGTGTGCTTTCCCAGAATCAGGCATGTTATGGAAACTTGAGCATGGCAATGCGTAAGAAGGTTTTCAGAGCCCCTTTGGGTGTTTGCACGAAATTTGAGTTATCCTCTAGTACTTAAGTTGAAATTTTGCCTGATCAGTGATCTTGTGTTTGCCTGCTGACGTGTTCTTCATAATAAAAGGTATTTAAGGTTACACTGCCCTAGTCTGAGTTCCCATTTGTTGAGGATCACAACAAATTGTGGGTCTCAGGCATTTCATCGTGGAATGGCAGCGCCTAGGTTTTTCTCAGTCAATGCACACTATAACTATATGTTTTAGATATAGCTATATTGACACTTTGGACTTGGCTAGAGTTTGAAGTGTCGTCTAATCTAGAGCAGAGGAAGAGAAGATGGAGGAAATATCCAATGAAGCAATCTCCGCAGGGTGTCCCCGTGATTACTGCAATTCTATGGAATGAAAGTTGGTTGATTCCTTCATGGTGCAAGTAAAATGATTAAAACTTTTTTCTTACATAAAGACCAGTTATTTCTTTCTACCACTTATCTCCTAGTCTCTTTGATTGCCTTGAACAAATCAAATCTTTTTCTATCAACCTTTCAGAGGAAGTAATGAGTAGTAGCCAATACCTGCCCTTGGCCTTGGTACGTGACTTGCGGCTCCTCTGATCTTCCATGTTTTTCCTCACAGTTTCTCTATTATCCGACATTAGGCTTCTTGCTTCCAAAGACTTCTTTTAAAATACAGAATAAAAAAAAAAGGTTTCCCAAACAAATGCAGTGTCTCAATATATTTTAACTACTTCTAACTTGAACATTCCTACGAAGTTATCAGATATTTCAAGATATACTTCTCACTTTGAAGCCTTGATACAGGTTGAATCTCGCTGTTACTATCTATACAACCTCTTGACTTTAGGCTTCAGTTTCAATATCCAGTCTTCTGCAAATTGCTCGGTCGGCTCACCTAGAAGCCCACACTAATATTAGCAGGTTAGCATCTTAATTTCTTTCCTAACACTGGATCCTTTAAATTGGCATACGTTTGTGTATATTGCATGCCTTTCCCAGTGTGCTGAGAGCACTCAGAGTGAAGAACTCTTCTCAGCTCTTGTTCCCATGCTGCTACCTTTTCTGTCTTATTCGGTGGTTCTTTATGTTTGGGATTTTGTTTGGATTTTTTGTACTGTGTTTCCCATGCTGTGTTCAATCTTAAACCTAGAGTAGGCACTCCAAGTCATTTAATTAGTTGATTAGCGAATACAGTATGAATTATTTCTTAACGTAAGTGAGTCTCAGTTTCCTCATTATTTCTCATTTATGAGTTGAACTGGTAATTCATGCTTAATAGTCATTTCATTAGGATGCCTAAGGAAAAAAAGACCTTGAAAAGTAAATCCGTAGTCCGGATTTCCATT